GATTTTTGGCCCTTATGGCCTCACACATTTGGACCGGATATGTCCGCCTCTAGGATCCGGTCAGCCCAAATTGGGCTGCTTATGTCCGCATAAGTGACCTATGTTCGGGCGCCCCCCGGTGTGTCCGCCAAACGGATCCAACCTCGAAAACGGCACACGCCAAACGCTGCAACGAGTAGATCGTGACATGATCACTCCGGGATATTGTATTTCAGTCTTCCTAAGATTCACCACTGTTTCCAAAGCTTGCATGTCATTGACCGTTGCTGAGGATATACCTGGATATACACGAGATGAGCTGACAGTTGACTGAGCAGCACAAGAGACACCACTCAACCTAGTACAAGGACTACTGGGTGTGACACTTCGACGACTCGGTATGTCCGCCAGGTGATCGGACACCAAGACCGGCAAGGCCCTTGTGTCCGCCGTTATATACCGGACATGGACCGAAATTTTGGGCTTTATGTCCGCCTAAATATCCGACATAGGGCCTCAAAATTGGCCGTTTATGTCCGCACTAGGATCAAACATATATACCAGTATGCCGGGGTCCTTCCCAAACCTACCCTCGCCGTCCTTGTTCCAGGAAAGTATCCCGATGCCGACGCTGGCCAGGTGTTTGCTGGAACAGATGTGCAGACTGGCGGGTATATTTCAGGCCGGGATGCGCAGTCCATCTTGTGTTTGCGCGCAGTGAGGTCGCTTGCAAAGCGATACGCTAGGCCCACCGATGTGAGATGAGCGCCGCACCCAGTCCAGCCTGACAGTACTTGAATGCCCAGCGCCCTGAGGAAACCAGCCCAGGGGCAGTCTCCCAGTGCCGATGCCGGTACTTGCGGGTAGACACTCGGGCTCAGAGCCGGCCGTGACGGGATTAGGACCGCAACTGGTCCGGCCACGGCCCCGCATGTCTCGGGCACTGGATGGCGAAACGCGGCGTTGGACGCTGCTGCTCTCTGGCGGAGGGAGACTGATTGCTGAGATGGGCAGTTGGGTATACTTGCCGAGGGGATCAGACCTGCTTGGGGATAGTCGAGACTCCTCGTGATCCCGACGGGCGCTGGTGCGTGCATGACGGACGGGAGGGTCCTTCGGGAGAAGCGTTGAATTAGGGGACTCGCGAAGAGCATGCAGACGGGACAATCTGCACGAACGACCAAAGCCCCAGGACGTCCTCTCCATGGCCCGGATTCGCGTCCGCGGGTGTGTTGTCTGGGATAGCGGACCCGCCGCTGTGTCGTGAGCACTGAGCAGTCGTACAAGGGTTTCGGACGGATGTCTGCGAGGGACGAAGAAGCCGGTTCAAGTTGCCCAAGGCCCAACCTGTCCCAGCCCAAGTCGGGCGTTCATCTCCGTCTTCCGGTGGAAGCGAGGCGGCTTGCTCGAGGCATCCGAGTGTTTGGTAAGTAGTAGGATACGCGGACAAGTCGTGCAGTGCGCGGATGGACGCGCCGCCAGGGCATGAACGTGTATATATTATATGTAGCATGCACCTTGGCCCAACAGTACCCCGAATGCGATACATCGCCTGCGGTGGCGCAGGATATTTTCATAGCGTTGGTTCAGTCCATTAGGCTCGCGGAACCGATATATATGCGCTCATGCTGGGAGAGCGAACCACATCATACGGGGACTCCATGACGGCCTGCCAGACGGGCCGGCTGGAGATGTCCTTCCACCAGCGGGGACTTGGGCCGCTTGGAGGCGTGCTCGAGGAAGGTGAAGCCGTCGGGGGCGAGCAGGGAGCCGTGGAGGAGGTGGAAGAGATCAGCGAGGGTGTGGTTCTCGGCGGGGTCATGATCAACATCAGCATGCATAACCACTAGCCGCAAAGGCAAAGCAGGACATACCAGCGAGGTACTTCTGCCTACTCGAAATCCTATCGTGCCCGCGTGCTCGGCGGCGCGCATCGTTCAGAAAGTGCAATCCTCCCTACAAAGTTAAGCCCGCGGAAGCCCTTGAACACCTTCTCCATCGCGATGTACTCAGGTCTCAAAGAGTAGTATTTAATCTCTCGTCAATTTGTCTGACACTGAACACCTTCGTCCTTGCATTCGCAACACACTCTACGCCGCGTTTTGGATCAGTCCCGGTTATAACCCTGCTGTCTTCAGTGGGTCCCTTTCTCGCCTGCTCGCTCCTCAACCACTGTGCATTGGGCAATTCGTATTACGCTGCGCGATCCTTTCTCTGTCATCGACCTCAGAGCTTCTACACCGGACGTTCCTTCGCGTTCTGACCCCGTCGTGGCGCTCTCTCAACTTGAAGTCGATTCCGGCTATACCCTCGTCCTTCAAAGTTTCACGGCCCGTTGGCTGATTTCTCCAATCCTAAATTATCCCACCTCAACGAAATCCGTTCGAACGACATCTACCACGGGTGGGTGACCGACACGTACACCAAGCTTCCTCGACTGGTCCCGCCTCCGCGATCGCCCGCTCTTCAGAATACCCGGCCGGCTGACACAAAGTCCACGTAGCCCTATAGCCCATGGCCCATAGCCCATTTGTCATCGGGCTACGTAGACTTTGTAACCCTGTCCCGGGTAGGACAGCAAGCCGGCTTGCTGGCCCCATCGGGGCCTCCCGCAGCTCGCTCGGAGAAAAAGATAGTAAGAGGACGGCACAGTGGCAACACAAACGCTTGCGCCCAATAAACAAGGAATTTCTATCCGAAAGGGCCTCAAGTACTGCATTCTGACTACATGACAGGGGGTACTGACCCGGTTCAATAGGCTTTCATAAACGAGGCAGGAAGTAGGTGGAGTAACATCGGCAATAATCTGTCCATAGCAGTAGCTCAGTTCTTCGAATCAATTGTTTGCTTGGTATCATAACCTGTGGTTAGGATGAATGAGCACGTTCAGCCGGAAATGTACCATGCGTCATGAATGAGCGCGTTGAGACAAGACATCAT